ATCAAATATGTAAGAAATTATTACATATGCAATGCATTAAATTCATTCACTCTGATTTGACAGTTCATGTTTACAGAACAGATAGATTGAATTAATATTTTCTAGGTATGCTTACTTCTGAATGCATTTAATACATGGAGTTTACGCTGCCATCTCCGCAAGTAAAGCCTATATCCCGATGGCAGTAAGATCATCTATTCAGAAGTCTACTGCATCCACTAAGAACCGGGATATATGCCACAATAAATTCTGCAAATGCAGGGTCCTGTTTTTCACATCTAGCAGAACATGTGCTGAGGCAGTTACCGATGTATTCCTACCTGAACACGCAAGCCCACCTCATTTGGAAGTCTGCTTTCTAAACTGCAGCAGATAAATAGTGGCAAATTAGAGGGGCTAGAGAAGCTGATATAGGAAACATACTGATGCAATGAGAAATGACAGCTGACAACGTGTCCTCACATGAGAAAACAGAAAATCTATAAAACACACAGCCTTTCAAAAGCATTAGCTGGGCTGGGACCCGCTAGCGCTAGTGTGATCAGTAAATGACAAAGCAACCAAACAGCCTATAAGGGTGTCGCTGTATAATAGAACAGAGTGCAATAATTGATGTGCCAGAGTGCCATCTTCACCCACCAGGAAAGAGGATCGACCACTGAGTGCGTTAGAAAACGCAGCCCTCTGACAAGTTTCTTTCCTGGAGTTCCTGGTAATTAAGATTGTAAAATATTCTCTTAAACCACACAAATTAGTAATTGATTATATAAGTGGACCCTTTGAAGTGATTAATTTGTGGATAAAGTCTCAATGAGAGAGAGATACACATAACAGGTTACTAATAAAGATCACCTGCACATGAATATGAACATGACTTTATGACTTTCTTCCCAAAGATTTCAGAGGAGAGATGGCTTTAAGATTTAAATTTAACTGGGGCTTGTCGGGTCTTATACTCCTCAGCCTGTTTATCTTTATAGCCATGTACTTGTACTTGTGATACAGAAAAAAAAAGGGCAAGTGTTTTATGGACTTTGTAGAGAAGGGACTCTGTACATGCCTGTATGCCATTAAAAGTAATCATGTAATAATTGTGAAGTTACGTGCTATATAGATTCCTTAGGAATGAAATACCATAATCCCTTCAAAAGTTAATGTGTACTAAATACATCCACATTTGCTTTTGTTTTTAAGTCATTATAAATAAGCACACTTTCATATTTTCATTAGGATATTGCTCCCATAAGGAAAAAATGTCAAATGGACCAATAAAAGAAGACAGGATGCTATTGAGCTAGGATGAAGTCCCACTTTATTGTGATTGCCATTATCATCTGTTATTTGGTTCTTGGCTCTCTGTTGTAATGTAATGTATATTGTTGACATGGTCCACAGTTTCCACACCTTAGGATGAATATGGGGAAAACAGTTTTGTGAAAAGACGTTGCTAGCATGGTAGCAAGGGACATTGGAGCTACATTGGAAGGTGAAACGATTACTCCGGCCATGCCCGAATACCCTTTTGCTCTTCTCAACTCAGATATATCATTTTTCCTTTGAAAAAAAAAATCTGTTATTTATGACTTTCGTGTTCAGTTTTTAATCTTGGCAGACCTAGCTACTCTTGCCGTCTGAAGATGGTGTTTTGGACCCCCTGTGGGCTGGACTTTTGGTTTAATTGTTTTTCCCGTTAATGGTGATGGATTTGCACGGATTTGGCCACACGGTGGTTTCCGGTTTCATTTGTGTCCAGTGGCATGTGTTTGCAAAGGTAATGGGTTTGCAGCTGGAGACCGGTGCAAAGCCATATGCTACACAAAGAGTCCACGACCTGCGACCTCAGCTTGATTAACTTGGTCCTGTACACGTCTACCCCAGAGATTATTTCATTTTAGTCTGGGGATTCTTTGAGTGTTTATATTTGATTTCCAAGACTAGCTTTTAAGGGAAACAATGTGCTTCGAGCTTCCTGTTTGTGAGTAGTACCTGGGCAGATGAGGGTGCAGCAGTCAGTAACAGCGTTTGTGGGTGCTGGTGCAGACCCTATGGCGTTCGTGTTTAGAATAAGAGCCTATAACTTCGAATTCTCTGTCACTTGTTGTTTTCAAAAGGAAGTGAGGTGTAACCACTGCCCAAATAGCCTCTGCTGAAGAGCTGTTTGCTTTGCAAGTTAACAAACCAGAGAGGGTAAGGGACAGGGTACCTCTCTAAAATGTTGTGAGGGCGCTCATCATTTCAATGTTGCTACAGAAAGGAAGTATTACGTTCACGAACAAAACACACTGGCTTAATCATTTTTCCACTTCTGAACGATGAACGTATCACACATCTGTATATGTTTTTCTCAAAGTAAATGGCATACTATACGTTTGAAGTGAAGAGGCTTTCCTGTGGAGTTGCCAAGGTAACTGACCAGCACGCAGTTCAGCAGATTGCAGACGGGCATTGGAGTACACGTGAATAAAGAAAAGCGTGTGTCATCGCAGAGCCCAGGAGGCCCATGCGAGATGGCAGCTTGGTTCTGTAGGTTGCAGAAATGCCTTTCATGGAAACAGACTGAGGTAGATGTGCTATACTTGTCCTTGAACTGAGGCGTTATTGCAATAGCAGGTACCTTTTCATGGTTCCACTTCAGGACCTGCCAAGAACTATATAGAAAATAGAATCATTTCAATATTATTTAATTAAGAACCTTCCCTTTTGCTTGTAAGCTTGCTTTTGCCACCTTATGACAGCCAGCACTAAGGGAAACGGTTAGTAATTAGTAATGTAAATGGAGGAGGGTAACATGTAAACTGCTACACACCCATGAGAATTTGTTACACCGTTGAAATTTAAATGGAGTATTATATATATTTAATCCATAAACATGAGACCCGTGTTTACCTCTGCAGTGTTTTGTATTAGAATATATTCATCCGTTCAGTAGGCACTGGTAACGTTATTCAAATATGCCAGATACCTTCTAGGTGCCGAGAAAATAATGAAGGTAAATAAAATTCAGAGCTGAACTTCAAGGTGCTTTTAATCTCTAGAAAGAATAAATTAGATTAGCTCTGAAGAGATCCCTTTAGATTATTCGAAATATTTCTGTGCTTTGGATATAAACTCCTCTTTACATATAGAATGAAATAACTGCTCAGGAGGAGTTCACAACTCTGCATAATTTGTCTGTCTTCCCAGTTTTTCTCCCCCTACCTGAAATATACCCCAAGATCTAGCACCCCTGGTTTAATTCCCTTCCTTGAAAGAACCCCACGCAACTCCGCAATTATATCGTGTATGTGTGTTTGATGCTGCAAAGCCCGAATTCCCCGTCTCTGAGTTTCAGAACCTTCCTAGTACTTTAAAAGCCACATTGAATTCTACTTTCCCATAAATCTTTTCCAATTCTTTCTAGCCTCTGTTGCTGGTAATCATGTTCCCAGGTATTGCCAGAGCAGCATACTCCTCTGGATCATACCACGTTAGGTGTACATTGGTCTCCCAAACCAGATGGTGAGCTCGTGGAAGGCAGGGACTAGGTCTCCTTCATTGCTGCATTCTCCATGGCACCTTGTATTCCAGAGGGTGTTGTGGAAGTCAGCTGCTGAAAAACCTCAAATTCTATCCTCACAGTTCTAGGACTCGTACACTAACGTTTTTTGAGAATGGGATCATTTTCACTGTGAGGAAGTTGTTCTTGGGGAGAAGTTTGGTATTCTGAAGGCCATGGGAAGACTACGTATGAATACTCGCACTAAACAAGGCAGGAAGGGACGAGTCTCCCTGCAGACCTAGTTTGAACCCAGCCTGCTGCCTCCTTCCCTCGGTGACATGGCCTTTGAAGTTGTGGGTTTCGTAGTAAAGCTATGGATCTACGTGAAGCTACAAGCCAAATATTTTAGTTTAGTTTTACATTTTTGGCAGCCATCCACAGAACCGCAGGGACAAGTTTTCACAGATAAAGGAACATTTTTGTGGGAGTTCCTATTTTTACGCTGAAAAATCTACTGTCAGCGATCTCGCTATCCAGGGCTTTTAGTTAGTTGTGAGCCTGAAGAAAGCAGCGTTGGGGTTCCTAAGGTTAATTACTCCATTTACAAATCCATCAGTGAGTAAGAGGAAGAACTGGCCTGATAGAGTTTATCTGTTTAAAAATTGCAGCCACTAGCCAGTCAGGAAGATAGAAAACCAAAAGAGATTGTAGAGGTGACAAGGGTAATGGCAGTAATGTGTTGGTGGAGATGCTGATAGCGGAGGAAAAACAATAGGTGGAAAACTAATCAAACCAATTTGGCCATTTTAATGCACTCCCATCATATATCTTAAGTAACCAGTGAATCATGAAATCTACCCCATTTCACTTAAAGCAATTATTGGCACTGAATTTTATTATGTAATTGATATCACTTATTTAGGATGTAGGTTTATATTGAGTGAGTTATTAAATGTCAAGATCAGGTAAAATGGAATAAATCAGTTCTAGGAGAGAGATGAGAAATAACACATATAGAAAAAGTATCAACGCATTTTTTAATCAGTATATATGAAAGTTGCCTTACATAGATCGATGGTATTATAAACTCTGATGTGCTTTGTCTAGCAAACAATTAATACAGCATAGATTCTGACCATTTAAAACTTACACTTCATATTTTGCTTTGGAAAAAAAACCTGTAGCAATTATGTAGTTGGTCAGTTCTTATGATGCATTTTGCTGGTAATAATTGCAATGAAATCACCAGAAAGATGTTATGAATGTTTTCACTATTTAATAACAATTTAAAACATTAAAATGTGCCTAATTTTGTTTACACGGTGTTTTAAAAGTCTCTAAACATGTCAAGTCGGAAGAGTTAGTTGTTTGATGTTTTGTTCTAAAATCACTTCCCTTTAAAACAAATTTCTTAATAATATGTTGCATGTTGCTTCAGTTTTCCCTTCCTTACAGGGTAAGTGAATTGTCAAGAGCATATCTCCTTATTTGTCAATCTCCTTTCTTCCCTCTTCGTTTTCAGTGTACACCATCTTCTCGAAGGTGCACTCTGATCGCGATGTGTACCCATCTGCTGGTGTCCTCTTTGTTCATGTTTTGGAAAGAGAGTCTTTTAAGGGAGAATTTCCACCTTACCCCAAACCTGGTATGTCTTCAATGGGGGGGAAAAGTGATAGATTTACTACGTTTTCCTTTCTGTTCAGTGTGTATAATCTAGGTGACATATGATAAAACATTGTTAACATTTGAAATGGTTTGGGTGCATGATAAATTGGTCATTGTAGGCTATTTTCCATCATAAGATTATAAATTTAATTGCAGAAGGAAATAATTCATTTTTGATTTTGAAGAAAGCATATTTTTGGTTTCCCAATCTTGAGCTTTGTGCTTCTGACAAATGATGTACCTGTATTTGCATAGAAATAATTATAGTTATATAATTATGACTTTCATGTTAAAACTTTGAATCTTACATAGTACATTGATTTTTAGAAACCTATACATATGTTATAGAAGAGCATGAAATATGGTATTAAGAAAGTTCTCAAAAAAGCTTTTATAATATGGAATAATTTTATATAATGAAGATTAATTTTTCCCTTAAAGTTATACCAATTGCAAAGTCTTATTTGATTCATTATTGGCTTACATTTTTGTGACAAATGCTATGAAATCAATGAAGACATAGAAAGACTGGCAAGAAAAAATGTATTAAATTATTATAATTCTTAAGTAACAAATAAAAATGAATTTTCTGAAAATTAGAGCATTACAATTAATATAAACATTGTTTTTGTAGATTATATAATGAAAAGCATACCTGAAAACACTCATAAAATATAGTTAACCATGTTATCAACAGCATTCTAGAATAAAAGGTAGTATTTTTATCAGTTACTTAAAAATGGTTTTTAATGTGGTATTCTATGTTGCAAAACTATTTAGCTAAACCTTTTGAGCAAACTCTAATATTTGAGAAGCAAACATGTAGTTAAAAGCATAGTTTCTGGAGTCAGCCAAGATTAAATTCTAGTTTTACCACATAACATGACCACAGAGAAGTTACATAACATGGAAAATTACATATTTCATCAACAAGATTAGGGCTAATGATAGTACTACTTTTATAGGTATGTTTCAAAATCAGATGAAATACTGTAGTGCCTGTAAAATCTAGGCACAGTAACAGGGCCAGGTACATGCTAATAAATGATGCCATTATTATTATTATTTATCATTAATAAATGTTGTCATTATTACAATTCTTTTGGATTTGTAACACTTTTATTTCAAATCATCCTCCATTGTTTTAAAATTACATCATTTTGTTTTAAAATAATATTTTTATAATTTTGAGATATTCCTTAAGATTAGTTTGATAGTGTCCAGAGTTTCATGAAAGGAAGGCTTCGCAAGAAGATGAACACCTCAACATGATTGGGAGATTTTTCTGAAAGACAGTTGTCTTATTGGTAAAACTTTCCCACTCCTAGGTGACCAAAATAAGAAAAAAAAAAAAGAAAAGAAAAATTCCTCTGAAGTTGTATGAATCTGCTTTCTTTGTTACATTAGATTTCTAGACAAACGAACAACCAAAAGGATTTTTTCTTTACATGAGGCCCTAATCTTGAATTCCCAGATGGATTTGGCTTTGTGTGTGTGTGTGTTTAGTTTGCTACAAATGTAAAAAAAAAAATTTAAGACAGAAATATTTTGATTGAAACTACCAAAGCAACATGTGTGGAAATAACTAACTTGTATTTTAATTCTGTGTTTCTTATCTAGGCGAGATTAGTAATGATCCCATAACATTTAACACAAATTTAATGGGTTATCCAGACCGACCTGGATGGCTTCGATATATCCAAAGGACACCCTATAGTGATGGAGTCCTGTACGGGTCTCCAACAGCTGAAAATGTGGGGAAACCAACAATCATTGAGGTAATGTCTTAGAATGAGCAAAATTGTTGTTTTTTTGGTAATTTGAGTTTCAAATTTTGGAATTAAAATTACATGGCAATAGTTTCCAGTATTTTATGCATGGAAACACTGTAGATTGCATTTGGAAATGTGCCATTCCTTTCTGTGAATTTCCAGAGTCTTTTAAATTAAATTTATTGGGGTGACATTGGTTAATAAGATTAGATTGGTTTCAAGTGTACATTTCTATGATACAGGATCAGTATATTGCATTGTGTACCCACCATATATTTGGCCCCTTTTACTCCTCCTCAATATCCCTTCCCTCTGTTGTCTGTATCTATGAGTTTCAGTTTTATATCCCACGTGAGTGAAATCATATGGTTCTTAGCTTTTTTTGACTGACTTATTTTGCTTAGCATAACAGTTTCAAGGTCCATCTGTGTTGTTGCAAATGGCAGTATTTCATCTTTTCTTATGACTCAGTAGTATTCCATTGTATATATCTACTACATCTTCTTTATTCAATCATCTATCAAAGGACATTTTGGTTGTTTCCATGTCTTGGCCACCGTGAATAATGCTGCATTGAACAAAGGGGTGCATATATCTTTTTGAATAAGTGTTTTCAAATTTTGGGAGTGGGTTCAGAGAAGAGGGATTGCTTGGTCATAGGAGAACTCCCTTTTTAATTTTTTTAAGGAACTTCCATACTAGTTTTCCATAGTCGCTATGCCAGTTTATATTCCCACCGACAGTGAATGAGGGCTCCTTTTTCTTCTCCACCTCTTCAACACTTATTATTACCTGTCTTGTTGATAATAGCCATTCTAACAGGTGTGAGGTGGCATCTCATTATAGTTTTGATTTGCATTTCCCTAATAGTGGAGCTGAACCTCTTTTCATGTACCTGTTTGCCATTTGTATATCTTTTTGGGAGAAGTGTCTGTCCAGCTCCTCTGCTCATTTTGAAGTGGGAGAGTTTGTTTGGTGTTGAATTGTATGAGTTTGTTATATATTTTGGTTATTAATCCCTTGTCAGAGCTGTTGTTTACAGGTATCTTCTCCCACTAGGTTGCCGGCCTTTTTGTTTTGTTGGTGGTTTCTTTGGCTGTGCACAAGCGTTTTAGGTTGATATAGTCCCATTCATTTATTTTTGCCTTTGCTTCCCTTGTCTTTGGGGTCAAATTAATAAAGTCTTCTCTAAGACCCAGGTCCATAAGTTTAGTACCAATGTTTCTTCAATGACTAGTCTTTATTTCATTGTTAATCTAATTAATCATGTGTCCAAAAAATATAGGTAGGAAGTCATTAAATCCAACAGAAATCCGACAGATTGTGGGGAGAGTTCTTTTAACTTTGTGTAATAGTCTGCTTTTCAAAATATATAGTCTGCTTTAAATATTATTAAAGGTTTGGAATGACTCCAAAATTTTGATTTTTTACTGTATTCATAAATATTTCTGAGTATAATTTATTTTATTTAAAGCTTTATGATGCTATGAAAATCTTTAATATTTGTTTTTATTTTTTTAAATTTATCTTTATTGTTGAAAGTATTACAGGTGTCCCCCCTCCCCCAGCCCCCCCCCGCATTGACCTTCTCCATCCCACTCCTGTCCCCTACTCAGGCCTTCACTGCACTATTGTCTCTGTCCTTGGGCTATGCATATATGCATACAAGTTCTTTGATACTCATTTTTAAATGAGCAAGATATTTCTTTTATGAGTCAGTTTGTTCTACTTTTTTTCCTCAGTGTCAACCACAGCTGTAATCACTGTCAGAAGGCTGGTGCCGGGATGCTAAGACTTTGCACAATCTATTAGTTTTGGGGGTTTTTGAGGTACTGCAGACCTGTCTGAACGATTTCCTATCTGTCATAAAGTTAATTATTCCTTGATTTTTGAACTATTATTCTGGTTTTGGCCTTCGCTTTGTTTGCTGTTTGCAGTGGCTATTTCTGAGTTGACTTTGATGTGAGGTCATTGGCTCTTCAAATGTTCGCTAATATTTGACTGTACAAAGGGATTGATCTGTGTTTTTGAGCATGTGCCATAAGCTTTATAGACCATGACCCTTACTGTTTTACTCCCATCGTAAGTGGAGATGTGATTTCCCAAGGGTTATTCGTGACGTGTTTTTTGACTGGTTGGTGTGTAAACAACACAGGGATGTGCTTGTTTTAATGTGTCCTTTCCAGGGCAGCCCTGAAGCTTCATTTAAAAGTACAAAAATAAAAGTTGTTTTGGTGTTTTTGAAATTGTACAATGGCACTGGTAAGTAATTCATAATGGTTAATCCATTTACTAATGGTACCTCTGCATTGTGATGAGCACTTAACGGTCTTCCGTGAAAGAGTCTCTCTGATTTTAACTTGTTTTGGCATGTTAAATAGACCTGACTAATGATTTCTCTTCCCATAATATTGCTAAAAGCTCTGAGTTCTTATTGCACAGAGAAGGAATATTTTGTAAGTATATAAACAAATCATGAAAATGGAAAGGACAGTATGTTTTCATTTTGTCCTTAATGAATTTTATTTTCCAAATAACATTTCACTTTTTTAATATGATTTTCATTTTCCGATAGATAACTGCCTACAATAGGCGTACCTTTGAGACTGCAAGGCATAATTTGATAATTAATATAATGTCAGCAGAAGGTAGGTATGAAAAAATGTGTTGCTGATTGCTTCTTTGTTTACAAGAATATTTCATTATATTTTATGTCTGTGTAAAATATAGTTAAAGATTTTAAAGTACCAGACATCTAATATAACTAATGAAATAGTAAAATGTTGAAAAGAAAACTAAGCAATATTTAATTTGTTATAAATACCATGATGTGTTAGGGCCATGGTCGGCAAACTGCAGCTCGCGAGCCACATGTGGCTCTTTGGCCCCTTGAGTGTGGCTCTTCCTAAGCCTTAGGAGCACCCTAATTAAATTAATAACAACGTACCTACCTATATAGTTTAAGTTTAAAAAATTTGGCTCTCAAAAGAAATTTCAATCGTTGTATTTGGCTCTGTTGACTAATGAGTTTGCCTACCACTGTGTTAGGTTGTCACTTATTTCTTCAGGCCTTGTTTTCCTTATCTTTAAAATAAAACTAAGAATAAAATTGCTCTTATCAGTCTGGGATACAGATTCCATGAATTAGGCATGAAATGTGCTTCACTTAGGACTGAGCACAGAGTACACAATCAGTAATTATTAGGTAGTTTCATTATTTTACTTTATAACTTATCATAGTTTTTTTGTGAAGATAAGGAGCTATTGATGGACAGAAGTAAACTGTAATTTGGGTCACACACTACTTCCTAATAGCTAATCATGCCTCAGTAATTGCCAGAGTCCATCAGCATTTAGAGTTACAGATGCTCAAATTATGTGATTCTGAGGATTTGGAAGGACCCAAGGACTACTCCAAGAATTACACTTTCAAATATTTGACCCTATTTTGGCACTTGATTGGGAAAAATACATACCAACTAAAAACTTTGCAGTTAAAATGTATATATCATGGGGTAATCCTCTCTGTACCAGATATTATTTATGAATGAGGGTAACAGGAGGAGAATGGACATGGCATTTTCCCTCCTGAAAGCAGGAAAACAGTGTGTACCCTGGGTAGAGGGATTCTTCCATGTCCCAGTACAATTAAAAACAAATGAGCAAACACAAAAAACTTTATCAGAACCTACTCATTTGGATTGTGTGATAATTCAGCAAAGGCTAAGTTAAAAGTTGCTTTTATACTATACAAAAGAAAACAATTTCTATAGATTTGATAATGCAATCCAAAATTGAGGAAATTAAAAAAAATTTGAGGAAATTGCTTGAAGACTTTGAACCGCTTTGCATGAGTTTTTCCCAGGGGTTATAGCAATATCGGTTGCAGACAACAAACCTGCTAGTTCGAAATTGTGAATGACCTTCATATATGCAAAGCAAGTCCCAGTGCCGGTTCTGTAGGCTTGGACAGAAAATTCCCTGTCCACTTTTTCACTTCCCAAGGGCTTTGGTAGGTATTGACATTTGGGTCAGCGAGACTTGCACTTGACTCCAGTTGTATGTGGATGCTGGCATCCAGTCTAATCGGTCCCTGTAGAATTAGAATGCCCTTAATGAACAGAATAATTGCAAAGTTTCCTTTTCCTAAGGACTTCAACAGTACCGTTAGTTATATAGTTACCTGACAGTGAGCGTGGATCACTCACCTCACCGTTACGCTCTCAGAGTGACTCAAAGCCCTTTGTCAGGTATATCTGTAGTTTGAACCTCCTCTTTCTCAAGTCTTCTCTCAGTCCTGTGGATATAGAGTCCACAGGCATCCTAATAGGTGTTATTGGTGTGTGGGGACCCATGTCCAAGCAGACACTAGCGGAAAACCGCTACACAGCTGTAGAATTAAAAGGTGGCTTTAGGGGCTATTTATCTAAAAATAGGGGTTTTGAAATGTGTTGACGAGGGAGGAAGAGTAGATGGGTTTGGGGTTTTTACTCCTGACAGAGCTGCTTTACTGCTTTTCACAGAGGGTTCTGGTGCCCCAGGCTCTGAAAACCAGGGAACCAAGTGGCATGCCTTTGTCCTTGCTGGTATAGATGGAATTGATATGGGCTCTCGGATGTGCATCTTGGAGCCTGGCCTCCGTACATGCCATTTCTTCCAGATAAAGTTAGGAAAAGAAATAAGAGTTGCATATCAGGATAATCACGCTCCGTCTGACTCCTTGCCCAGCTGTCTTCTGCTTGGAGAGGCCTACTGGGAAATTAGTCCTGGAGACTCACACAGCCTGGAGCTGAAGGAGAGGCACAGAGTGATTCTTTATATTGGGTTCAGTACCTCGGAGGCCTGCCACCAATCTCTTGGCCTACTGCTCCCTTGGCCTCTGTGATGTCCAAATATAGCAGGCCTGGGATTTCCCCGAAGTTAGAAAGCTTGAGTGACTCATCTCTGGGAGTCCTGGCAGCCACGCTTGGCTGGGTAGACAAGCAGGCAGCTGCACAGCCCGGAGCCGCTGAGGGGCGTGGCGGCCGCCGGTCTCATAAAGGAACGACAAAGTGGGGTCACCTGGATTAGGAAAAGCCAAGAAACAGTTCTCCAAAAAGTAACATGGGTCATAAGAAACAAGTTTTGCACAGTGGATGTAAAAACACTGAATGAAATTAAGAGAGGGTAGACTTCTCGCATGCTCAAAAACTGTCTTTGGCATTATTTATAAATGTCATTTATTGCCAAGACACTGTTCTTCATGACATATTTCTGCACAACCATTTCTTGGTATGGGGAAAAATGTAGTATGATTAAGCTACTGTTTATCTGTAAGAAACAGGAAATGTTTCTGTATGAAACAGGAAACTTACCTACATAAAAGAGAATATATATATCACATTTTAGAAGATTGCAGATGGCCTGTACATCAAGCAAATCTAACAAAACCATAAGCAGCATAAATGACAGTGTCAGAAATGAGTAAAGAACCTTCTGTGACTAGGGCCTTGGAAAACTCATTCTTTAGGAAGAGATGCCACACTCTAGAAAACTCTCTTGAAAACTTTAAAGCCAGAATGTCTACCCTGACATCACCACAGGCATTTACGTACCCTTTCATAATAAAGTGCCTTCATAAAAAATGAGGTCATCACGATTTCAGTTGTTTATTGTGTAGTTTTTATTTTTTATTTTATTATTAAGTAAGAGTGGAATGCTTTATAGATATGAGTTTTAATGAAATAAGTCAGAGGATGTATACATAGAAAAAATTACTCTGTGTATAGTCCAGAAACATTTTCCTTTTAAAGGAACAATTTAGATAACCAACCTGTTTATATTACGATAGTAATTGCTAAAGAGGAGCACTTGTATACAGTCTCCCTTAGCTTAGATAAAAGTCATATAAATTCAAATGATGGTAAATTTCTGGACCTCAAAAATCAGATTCCCCTTCTGAAAGAATGGAGAACAACACAAAGACCTACTCACGCTCTGGTTGTGAGTAACAAATGTGACAATTCACCTCAATCCATTAGTTTGTAAGTATTAATAAAAAATAAGCCTTTATTATTACAGAAATAATATTAAACAAAAAGAAAGCTATTTTTATCTTAATATAACAATTAGAACAAGGGAGATGATGATTTACAGTTCAAGAATAACATTTGAGAAAATGAAATAAATTATATTTACTCTTTATTGAGAGTATGAATTGGACATTCAATTGTTTTAAAATATTAATTTTGAAATCTTTGGAGAGTAATATTTATGAGATATTAGGGAAAGGAGAGCTAAATCTGTATGAGGTAAGGAATTTAATGATCACTTTAAAATATAACTTTTCTAGAATATTTAATTATGGAGTGATCAAAATAGTAATATTGTTATAATTTCAGAATTTTTATTGAAAACATAATCAATATTTATTTTAGTAAAAAGTACTCCGTAATGTTTTAGCATGCTCCAAAATACAGCCATGCATTACATAGCAACATTTTGGACTGCAGAGAGGACATGGCCCCATAAGACTGTAATGGAGCTGAAAAATTCCTATCACCTAGTAATACTGTAGCAATTGTGACATTGTAGCACAATGCTAAGCTCTTGTTTTAAATACATTGAGTAGCCTAAGTGTAAAGTTGTATAAAGACTACAGTCGTGGACAGTAATATCCTAGGCCTTCACATTCGCTCACCTCTCATTCACTGACCCACCCAGAGCAACTTCTAGTCCTGTAAGGTCCGTTCATGGTGAGGGCATTATGCAGGTACAACAATTTTTATCTTTTATACCATAATTTTTTATTTTATTTGTCAACTTTGCTTTACATTCAATATTATTTTATACTAGTCTCAGGTACAATATACTCTATTTTTACTGTATATTTTGACACACAAATACTTTCCATTGTGTTATAATTACCTACAGTGTCCAGTGCAATGACTTGCTGTACAAGCTTGTAGTCTAAGAGCAATGGACCATACCGTTCAGCCTAGGTGTGTAGCAGCAGGCTATACCATCCAGGTTTGTGTAAGTGCACTCTAGGATGTTCGCACAACTCATTTATCAGAATGCGAAATGCAATGTGTATTCCTGTTGTTAAGCAATGCGTGACTATACTGCACATTAAAAATGTGTTATTTCAAATCATATACCAACAAGCCACAAGCAAGTACTGATATTTTATGATGTTCTCTCTATTTGGAAAGAATGTTGCTCTGTGCCTAAGGAATAGCACTACTTAGCGTTGTAATGATAAAATGAGACGATATATTTGAAAAAGATCTGTTAATTTAAAAACACTATTAATACAAAAATATTATTCCTACCCATGTTGCCTTCCGGAAGTGCCCCTTCTGCCTGGGTGAGGCAAGAAAGGAGGCCCGCAGGTCATTGGCAAGTTGGAGGCTGATTTGGCCTTTTCTTCTTTCTTTTTACCAAATCCTATAATTATTCGCTGCCCTTGAACTGTAATGCATGGTAGATAAAATTCTGTGTCAAATGTATATTTTTAGATACATCCCTGTTATACAGACTTTAAAGTCAGGATTAATATCATTTTCAAAAATGTGTTATTTCAAATCATATACCAACAAGCCACAAGCAAGTACTGATATTTTATGATGTTCTCTCTATTTGGAAAGAATGTTGCTCTGTGCCTAAGGAATAGCACTACTTAGCGTTGTAATGATAAAATGAGACGATATATTTGAAAAAGATCTGTTAATTTAAAAACACTATTAATACAAAAATATTATTCCTACCCATGTTGCCTTCCGGAAGTGCCCCTTCTGCCTGGGTGAGGCAAGAAAGGAGGCCCGCAGGTCATTGGCAAGTTGGAGGCTGATTTGGCCTTTTCTTCTTTCTTTTTACCAAATCCTATAATTATTCGCTGCCCTTGAACTGTAATGCATGGTAGATAAAATTCTGTGTCAAATGTATATTTTTAGATACATCCCTGTTATACAGAAAGCCTTTAAAGTCAGGATTAATATCATTTTCCAAAGGCAGGACTGTGACAGAAATAAACAAGTCCAGAATTATTCTTTTGTTTCCCTTTCCAAAGACCACTTCACTAAAGCTGTGCATACCCTTTCCACCAAAATTAGATTTCCCGTTACCATACCAAGCGGAATTCTTCATTAAAAATATGAATGTGGAAGAAATGCTGGCCAGCGAGGTTCTCGGCGACTTCCTTGGGGCGGTGAAAAATGTGTGGCAGCCGGAGCGTCTGAATGCCATAAACATCACGTCGGCCCTGGACAGGGGCGGCCGGGTTCCGCTCCCTATCAATGACATGAAGGAGGGGTAAGCAGACCTTTATCTTGTTGCCTTCAATATGAATTTTTAAATGTGGTGATCTTATCATACTTATTATAGATGGAAGATGGTCTATTGCATTTTTTTTAAAAAAATAAGATGTGGGTATTGTAAAGATATGAAAATACTAGCAATTTTCTGTATTGATAAAGAGGTTATGTTAACGGTTCTTTATATCTGATGTTCCAGGTCCTGTGAAATCTAATTGTAGATCAGGATCAGCAATCATAAATTACAGTGCTGAGTCTTTTGTACCTTCTGTAGAGAAACTGATTATTTAGGACCCGGAATTTCAAAGGACATTGATGCCCCAGTTATCAGCTGCAGCAGGACATGCAGACTGCTGTAACTTTATTCTAGGAAACTATTTCTTTGCCTTTAACATTCTTTCCACCATGTGTCAGTGACTGGTGGCTGAAGCGGATTTGAGACCTATTCCTAAAGCTCGGCCTTGTCATTTTCAAGCTGGGTGACGTTGGGCGAAATGCTGCAGTCCTCTGTGCCTCAACCTCCTCATTTGCTCCCATGGGGAGTTTACTCTCCCTGTAGTTCATCACAATGGTGAAGGGCAACAGTGCTTTAGAAAGAGATTTGTCTGTTCCCAAGCCTCACCAAGGTTCAGAAGCACTCCTATACCTGGGCAAACTGAAAAGTCAGTGTCAGCTAGACTTTGATCTTTAATTTTTAATCTGTAGGCTGAAGCAGACCCTATAAACACATGAGATATGGAATGAGTTGTATTTGGGGTAGCATATTCCCTTTCCAACTCCTTCATTTATATTCCTGATAACATTTTTACACAGATGATATCTGGAATTACCTAGAATGCCTGAATTAATAAGAATTAAATTTAAGGACAGCTATAAAGGAGAACGTTGTTGGAAATAAGGGAAAATATCACAAGTAGACGTAACTAAAGTATGAGGGAGTAGGCAGAAGCAGGGTAAGGGCTGAGCAGTGAGCTGTCAAGTCCAGCTCACAAATTTCAGAACGAAGCTGTACCTGCTATGTTGCAGTAATGTGTTCTGAAGCCAGCCAAGCACACTTAGAAGTGTTGCTTTTATCTCGTTTTTTTGGGCGGCTTTTTCCGTGAAAACGTAATTCTAGAATTCAAATGTTTACGTCAGAGTTACAACCTGATTCTCTGAGTAATTAAGAGAGAACTGTGGAAAGAAATGAACAGAGGTATCTCCCCAGAACACCTTCTCCAAATGGGGAATCTTTTCAACATTTGTTAAAGTCACGTGTTCTGTGATGATTGTCCAGACAGTAAGCAAAGATGTTGGAGGGAGCACCATGAAAGCCAGGCATTGGTAGAGCTTCCCACAGTGGTGCTCTCAGCTGGGCACAGCCCTTCTCCACTCACTAGCGCAGGCCCCACCCACTGAGGCACTTTCGGAAACAACTAAACTACATTGAACTAAATAACTCTCTGAACCAAACTCCGACCTAAAACAGTGCTTCCCAGCTATGTCTAGCCTGAGACTTGTCAGTAGGCACCTTAATAAAAATACATCGAGGTTCCAACCTCTGATTCCCCCTAGGGATTCTGAATCTTTGAGTCTAGGGCTGGGTCTGCGCATGTGACTCTAAATTAAGAACGGAATTTTTGTCCCTCAAGTACTTGTTGGAGAATTCGGTCATTAGCTGACTGACCCCCAACACCTGCTGGAGGGTGGCATGTGCTATCAGACATTTGAGAGAGCCAGTCCCATGGCATGTATTTGAACCTGGTCTCAGATCCCTTCCCAACTTGAAATGCTTTCCATGAGTTTTAATTTAATGTTAAGCCATAACCTTTACAAAGCATTCAAAAAGTCCTTCAAAATAGCATTTCTATAAATTATACCCAAAGCCAACTCTATTACTACAGTATTCCTCTACAAGCACTAATTAATTAAAATCCTCCTTGAGTATAATTCCTTGAGAATGATTTTGCATATTTTCTTCAGTCGTTATCTAATGTTGTGGTAACAATTTTTTTTAAAACCCCTGTTGCCTTAAATTTAGAAATAAGTCCAATGCTTAACTCATCTCTTGTGCCTTCCTTTCTTTTTTAATGGTGTATATCATAATTACGAATTCACTTAATAAACTTTTTTGCCTCTGTACTTTCTTTTGAAAATAACATGGGCTTCAAATCCCTTTTAAAAATGAAATAGTGAAAAGATCAAGAGATAGGGCCAGAGATAGCAAAAAAACCCACAACCATCCCTTCCTTTTATACAATTTTGTTTAAAAAATATACACTTCAGAAGTACTAATTAAGTACCTAAATATGTGTTCTACTTTATACGTAGCATAAGCCTCAACCTCTGATCTTTTTAAAAGAAAAAATTCATGAAATATTTTTCTATTTCTCATGGTAGCCATAATCCACTAATTGCGGATGTTTCCATATTTGCTATATATGGTTGATGAGGAAGAGAAACTCAACGGTAGACCCTCAGAGTAAGCTTACAGCCAGTCCCTGCACAGCCCAAGCACCACTAAATGTCAATCATCAAGAACCCATCCAACAGCATCCCAGCTCTTCTTTCTTCTTGATGTGTATTTTTCATCCCTGCAGAGCTCACTGACAGCTTTCAAACTTCTCCTCAATCTAACAGAAAACAATTATAAAGATTTATGTCAGAGTGAGTGAGCTCCTGAGGAACGCTGAGCCTCCTGGAAAGATTCCCTTTCACTCGCCAGACCTGTAACCCCAGGGCAACTGTGCTCTCTCCCAGTGTGTGGTCTTGGTGCCACTTTCGCTCCGGACGCGGAGCCAGAGGCTAAGGACTCTGTGGATGCATTTAGCCTGGGATAAAGCTGGTGGCAAGAGGAGCAGGTTCATATTTCATTCTAGGCATGGCAGAGCTGCCAACCTGGGGTGAGTGATGTGGTGTAAATGGTGGCTATGAAGGGAATGATGGGGTGTGAGGATTAAAGAATAGACTCACTTTTCATAAGAGATTGTCAAACCTACCACTATTTCCTCTGGTTCCCAAAGCATGTGGATCTAGCCCCAATCAGCAACAGAGAATCCTGGTTTATTCTCCTAGACAATCTCGCGGAGTACTCCCTTTAATTAATGGTTTGCCCTCCACCCTACCAAGGCCTCAGAGAGAAGTTACACTTGAGGAAGAGAATGTAAGTCAGTGGCTGCCAAATACCGCTGTGATGCAAGGTCATGATCCTGGGCCAGTCCCTGGTGCTCTGCTGAATTGTCCCCATGTTTGGTGATTTACAAGAATGTCCTTTATTCATAAGTAATGAACCTTCGATATTTTGGGTGCATTATTTTTAAATAATGTGCCTTTGCTATCCTTTCATTTAGGGAATGATGGTGATAGCAGATAGAATTTTTAAAAGTAGTGTTTAAATATAAAAAAAATATTGAAGACCCATATGAATCTGTTTTTGTAAGTTTAAAAACAAATAAATGAAGTCAATGCACCTAGATGTCTAATAACGAGTCTTCTAAGTTCTACGCATACATTCATGCTTTTCTTTCATAGTTTAGTATTTTGTAAGTATTTTTTTATGGGGGAATAGTGTATTAGTCTGGGGGTACAGTGTCTTTAAAATTACAGTCTATGGCCCAACTGGTGTAGCTCAGCAGTTGAGCGTTGACCCAGGAACCGTGAGGTCATCGGTTCAATTCCCAGTTGGGGCACATGCCCAGGTGGCTGGCTCAATCTCCAGTGGGAGGCATGGAGGAGGCAGCCGATGTTTCTTTCTCTCTCTTCGTCTCCCTTCTCTCCCTTGGAAAAAAATGTTTCAAATGGTGATTGAGTTCTCTCTCTCTCTCTCTCTCTCTCTCAAAAAAAATAAAATAAAATAAAAACATTTTAAAAAATTATAGTCTATGTTCACAATCCATTAGGGTGCAGACAGTAGTCAGAACATTAAACCAAAGTGTGGTACATGCTACCGTTGAGGCTGTCATAATGAAGAGTGCTCCTCCCACGTCGGGCGGATGCCTAAAAAGGGCCCATAGAGGAGGTGAACTGGAGCCAGGCCCGAGTTTAAAATGTGAGTACAAATCAGCCTGCTCAAAAAACGAGGAAGGGGGATTCTAGGCGAGGGAACGGCTTGGGCCCTTAGGGAGAAGAACGCGTGGTGGATTTGGAAATGGAGGGTAGGGGTCCAAAAGTGATCATTACCAAGGAGGCAAGTCCCGGCCACCTAAGGCCTTGTGCACCAGGAAAAGGTGTGCGGCTTTTATCCTGAAGCATTAGGGACCTTTGCAGAAAATGGCTGATACTAAAGTTTTCGTTTTAGCAGGTGGGCGTGCTAAGCCTACCACGTGAAAGAACAGAGCAGGCCCACATGTCTCCTTTCTGCCAACAGGAGGCCCAGGAAGCCAGAAAGGCCTGGGCCTGTGTGCCCGTTGCCTCTTCTGAGAATCCATTCCTTCTCCAGGGAGAGGACTGAGCACGCAGTGGGACTAGATTCTAGAAGTGTCCTTTATTTTGTTTCTATTCTGTATTAGATCATTTATGTAGTTCTATGGTGATTGATTGACTACAGATATGGACAGAACAAAGAAGTGGGTAGGGGACAGAGGAAGGAATCGAGGTGCATGGAAGAGCTCAGGAGTGCCCGGGCGATGTGTTATTTATGTAGACACATTCTACTCTAAACTGTCCTTATCTCCCATCTACACAAAATAAAATATAAAATACGTTCAGTCCTTGGACGGTTAGGTAGAACGTACAGTCATTGGACCCATTTATCTGGCTATTGCTGAAAAAGGCAGACTTTTAACTTACATTTTTTACCCGTTTCTCATTTCTTCACATTGTCTGTGTAAATGCCTCAGCAAATGTGTTTTCCCTCAAGGGAAATGAGTTGCTCAAATTGGAAGAAGAAAAACCTTCATAAGGAACAAGTTCCATCTTGTGTTTACCGATTCCTGAGATCAGATCTGAGGAACCAAGTTTTGATAACACTGCTTGAGAGCCTTGTCCTCGATAATGTCATATCTTTACACACATATGAATGTTTGGAAATAGATCGCTAAAGTCATAAAGGTAAAAATCATCCTCATAAAAAATTTTAATTTCTATATATCAAAAAGCCAGCTGAAAGGAAAACAAGAGCTTATGAAAACGTAATTTTAGTGTGCATAATACAGAGTTATTGTTATACATAGCCTCGTGCAACATCACTTTTTAAAACCAACATGTTGAAACTTACTGGTTCTACAAAAGAAACAATATACACACACGCATATATATATACACACACATTATTTTTTACCTACAAGGCAATTCCAGTATCTACTTTTCTTGAACATATTATTTATAGCCTATTTGCATTTTACTTATTAACTGATTTCCCAGCTTTATTGAGATATAATTAACATGTTGTATAAGTTAAGGTGTACAACGTAATGACTTTATGTATATATACTGATAAAGCGAAATGATCACCACATTAAGTTTAGTTACTATCCATCACCACACATAGCTACACACTTTTTCTTGCAATAAGAATTTTAAAGATTTACTCTCTTTGCAACTGTCAAATATTCTACTGCTTGTGTTTTTAAACTGGAAAGATGCTTTTCATTCAGTTATTTATTCTGCAAATAGGCTCCCTGAGGACAGCAAAAAAGTCTGGGTTCAAGGAGAACTATTAAGGGACTGTTGCTCCATCCCCTGTAGAAAGTGATGGTGACTAGAACTAGAGTTGTAGCAGTGAGAAGGCACAAAGTGGACAGGCGTGTGTGAGAGTTCTTTCAGGGTGAATGTCAGAGACCGATGATGGATTGAATATGTGGGAAGAAGGACAGGACTCAAAGATGATGGTGCTTGAGCATCTGGCCATGCCAATCACTGAGAGAGAAGAGAGAAGGAGGAACAGGTGGAGGTGGGGTGGGGTGGGGTGATGATGAGCTCAGTTCGGAACGTATTAAGTTTGTGAAGCTTATGGATCATCCCAGTACAGATGAAAGTAATTTGGCAGTATGTATCAACTGTCATAAAAGTGTTTCCACTTCTAGGCATCTCTTTCAAGATAGTAACATTAAAGAGTATGCACAGAGATAGTCTTTGCAATATTATTTATAACATCAAAAAATTGGAAGCAACTTACATGTCCAACTCTGAAATAATTGCTGAATAAATCATGTGCACTTAAAAATTATATTGCCTTACATCTATAATTACAAAGACTGTACAATAGGGAAAATGTTTATGACGCATTAAGTGAAAAAAGATACAAAATTATGTTTTAGAGACAATTGTAATTAGGTTAAATATATGCATTTGAAAAATATGCTGCATAGTAAGTTGGAAAATGAAAATAGCTATCTTGGTAATATTCTGTCCTTATATCCCAAGTTTTATGTAATATTTTGTGTTGCTTTTTAATTTGAGAAAAAAATAAACTTTTCACAGCACCAAAAACATATGTTTATGCCCACTTATATTATCTTGAAGTGAATTAATTTAAAAATTATTAATTATAAATGCAAATCAGTGTCATGTTAAAGCAAGAGGACCGTTGTAAGAAATATTCATTTTAGTTCTGTATGTACAAATATATTTCACAATATCAAGGGAAAATATGGTGTTTGCTAGGCAGTTAAAAAGGGAGCTTACAAGTAATTTGTTTTAAATGAACTATGTTTAAATCTTTATTGTGAAAGTCTTACATATGTCCCCTTCTTTTCCCCATTGACCCCTTCTGGCCAGCTCCCACCCCAGGCCTTCACCAAACCATTGTCTGTGTCCATGGGTTATGCATGTATGTGTACCTGTTCTTTGGTTGATTTCTTCCCACCCATCCGCTCACCCCGCCTTCCCTCTGAGATTCAACAGTCTGTTCCATGCTTCTATGAGCTATGTTAAGATTCACTGATCACCTACATACTTTACCAATGTTTGCTCACATCTACGTTTGTTCTCAATTTTTAATTTTATCTCCAGTTTCTGTATAGTATATACTATTTGCCTCCCAAAGGCATCATGGTTTTTGTTTAATGTTCTTTTAAAAGAATTTTCAGTTCAAATGTACAATTCACATAAGAACAACCAAATGAGCTTATGTAATCATACTCTGGAGCATAGTCATCAACTCAGGGTGTGACTTCATACTTACATTGACATAGCTTTGAATTTTTGTGCTGCACTTTAATTTTTTAAAATAAAAGCTTTATTGAGATATAATTCACATATCATACAATTCACCTATTTAAAGTCTATAACTCAATGGTTTTTAGTTTATTTCCAAAGTTGTACAATCATTACCAGAGTCCATTTTAGAACATTTTCATCATTCCAACAACCCCCTCCCACATCCATTTAGCAGTCACTTACCACCACACCCTCCAGCCCCAGGCAACCACTACTCACTTGCTATCTCTCTAATTTTCCCTATTCTGGACATTTCATATGGATGGCATTTT